CGCCATTATCTGCATTCCTCAGCTATCGACCGCGGGTCTCGCTTGCCGCGGCCTGCCCGGGCGCGGCCCTGCGCCATGGCCGGGCACAGCGCTCCGCGCACAAATGCCGGCCCCCGGCGTGTGGCATGGACGGAGGCAGCGGGTAGGGAGCTGGCGGCCACAACGGGCCCCGGGCCCTGCTGCTGCTCTCCGGTTTCCAGGCAGCGTTTGGCCTTCCCTGGGGCACAGGGGTGCCAGGCAGCACCGGGGCCAAGGCCTGGGGCCTCTGCCACAAGGCCGCGGCTCCCGCAGCCACCTCTCCCTCCTCCATGGCCTGAACCCATCCACTTCAGGCTGGTGCCGCTCTTCCGATGGCCAAAGGGGAGCGGCCCATGCCGGGAACGGGCCCTGGAAGGGCCAGCGTGCTCTGGAAGCGAAGCAGTCAGCACTTGCGAGGAGGCTGCGAGTATTTAAGCATGCAGAAAAAGCAGGCAGAGCGGGCTAGGCAATCTGACTCCTTTGTCAGGCGGCCCACACAATCTCTTGGCACGGCAAGGACGGACCTGGGTGGAACTGCCGCCTTCGGCCTTGCGCCGTAATCACGGACACGGAGACTAGGAAGAGGAGGACGCATTGCAGCACTGGGGCTAAAGGAGGGAGTCCAAACAATGTCCCCTTTCTTCAGCCTCCTCATTGCAGAGGGGTGAGCCGAGGAAGCCTGATGAGGCACAGTGGCGAGGCGAACACCCCCAGGCATTTGTATTTTGCTGGATTTGTGTATTTTCTTAAGGGCAGGGGTGGGAGCAGGAACACATGTGAGCTCAGAAGGTACCATCTCAATCCCATCCCCTCAGTACAGTGGCAGCAGCTCGACTCACGATGGTTTACCAAGAAAGGACATTAACAATACAGACTTCGGCCTGTTCCTAACCACCCAGCAAGACTACCAGCCATGGATGCTTCAGTCATCAGAGGGAGCCACTTCTAAACTACTTTCCATCCTTCGCCTCAAACCCAGGCTCTATGGTCAAAACCAAGTTCTTCAGCCATGATGAAAACACAAAGGCCTGAACCTCCGTTTCACCAACCGCGTTACTTGATCTCTGCGGGAGTCTGGGTCTGGCCAGGTTTCGAGGAGAGCTCAGCAACTTGGGACACCTGAAAGTGTGGGGGTTCCACAGTTTTTAGGAACTGAGTATTAAGAAAGGTTCCTTAGGATACCTCAAGAGTCTGGCTCCCAAATTGCTCATGTCCTTGCGAACCTGTGGCCATTATATCCGACTCACCTATTAAGACTGAAATTAGTCACGGCAGGTGAGTGGGTGAGTTAAAATTGCACAAGACCAGCCCCACGGTGACCCCCTGGCAAAAGCAGAGAGCCTGGTTTGTGCAATGTCCCCTCCTCATCCTCCACCACAGCACATGCCAGTGTGGCCTGCCCCCGTCTGCTCCTTACCTGGTGAATCGGACTTTGCAGATGTTGCACTCATAGGGCTTCTCGCCAGTGTGGGTGCGGATGTGGCGCGGCAGCTTGCCAGCCCCCTGGATCACCTTCTCACAGATGGGGCACTTTTGGAATGCTTTTGCCCTGATCTTCTTCTCAACTTTCTGGGACCAGGACGGATACACGTCGCTCTCGTTTGAACTGCCGAAGTATTTCAAGTAATAATCCATAACCCCGTCGTCATCTTTTCGGTCATCCTCCCCTAGCTGTTGTCTCCCCACAGAATTCATCATTTGCTGCAGCAGGGCACTAGCAGCCAAGCCATCCACCTCCCTGGCATCAGCATCCTCCATCTCTGCTCCAGTAGGAACAAAGCTGGGCGAGTCACCGGCCTCCTGCTGGTCCAAAGGAACCGCTGGAGTTGCCTCCTCTTCTCCTGGTGTCTGCAGGCCACGGCTGCTGTAATGTCCGTTCTGAGAAGGTGAAAATAAAGACCCAGGGGTCTCCTCCTCTTCTCTGTCCAACCACATGGCTGGATTGCTGTCAGGATCACAGTCATTCACCTTTGGTCTTTCACTTAGTGGAGCTTGTGAGTAGAAGTCCATGCCATTGCAGTCTGGCTCCTCCTCTTCCTCTTGGCTTCGGAAGTTCAGTCTCTGAAGGTCTCTCAACTCTTGGTTGGTCCACGGAAAGCTGCCTTGGTGGCCATTGACGGGGTTGCTCTGGAAGAATTCCAGGTACTCTTTTGCTCTGAGATGGTTCCTTTGATCAATTTGATCTACTGTATCCATCTGGTCATTTTTGGCCAGAATCTTCCTGTCCAGGAGATCCGTGCAAACATCCCTTACCGCCGGGATCTCCAGCAGTTTGGCGGCGTTGAGGATGTCGTTGACATTTGAAGTGCTGACAGTAAGGGTCGCAGTGTAAGCGAACTCCAGCAGAGCTGACAAGGCATCTGCACTAACAAAGTCTATCTCATACACGTTTTGCTGGTCCACCACTAACCCTGAGGTGAAGAGCTTCTTGAAGTACTGGCTGCACGCTGCCAGGACGGAGCGGTGGGTGGGGAACTCCTGGCCTTCTACCAAGATGACCACGTCACACAGCAGCCCATTGTTTCTCTGCTCATTCAGGCTGCTAAGGATGTCGCTGCTGTGATCAGGGAACGGGATCCCTATGGGGCCGTCCACGCCACCCGCCATCTTTGACGCAAAAGGCTAAAGAGAGGAGACAAAACGCAGTGAGTCACACAGCCCTTTGCTGTTTCGAGACATTTGCATTACACAGAAGCTCCCAACACGGAGCTTAAAATTGCCCATTGGCCCCTGGCAGGTATTTGCTCCTCAAACACCAGTGTGCACTCTACTAAGTGTCATGAGGCAGGACACATGACCACTGCGCTAACCATCTCCAAAACAGCCAGGTCTGCTCTCTGTCTGGGAATCCTAAGACATGTCCACACCAGCAGGTGAGGACAGGGCCATGCTCACCTTCCCTCCTGGAAGGAGGAGAAGCACAGCCCAGGTATTCTCAAGCTGGAGTCTGGAAGAACAGCTGAATTAGCAGACGTTGAGGCCGGCGCGAGCAAGCCTTGGCAAGGCCAGGTGCCGGGTTAACACACACAGCACGTGGACCAAGGCGGCAAGCATGCTCAGCATTCTGCTCGGATGGATTCAGCCTTGCTAGCAGACCCCAGCCTGTTTCTTGGTGCAGCTGCACCCGGAGCGTTTTGCAATCCCGCCACCCCTGCCAGAAAGCTCCCCTGCTCATCCAGCGTAGCTCAGGACATCCAAGCTCCTGACACAACTGCCCGGTCACAGCAAAGACTGTTCCTGGGGTCCCAGGCTGCTGAAAGGGTCAGCGAAAGGCTGCTGGGTGCTGGGGCTGCCCTCAGAGATGGTAGAGCAGCAAAGCTCTACCCAAAGCTCTACCCTATTCGAGGGCACCCACATGCAAGAGGAGAGGAACATGGACCACCTCAGTCTGCTGCTAAAGACAGTGTGCAAGGAGCCAAGCGCAGACACTCGAGGGCTCTATAGTCCCTTAAACAGTGCCTGTCTAGCCATACTGAAAAGAGACAGTAGTTTGTCTTGCGCTATGCAGATGGCAAGAAAGCAGTTCACTGCTGAACACCAGCAAGCCTAAGGACACAAGCTCCTTGGATTCACAGGACGTCTCCAAACAGGGTCAGTCCCATGGTGCATGGCTCCCCCACCCAAATTGCCAGCACATCCATGGGGTGCCAAAGATCCCGACCTCTGTGCACCAGGGCCACCCCAGCCCTCTGCCAAGAAACCCGTGGCTCCTTCCCCGGGGACGTTGGTGGCCAAAGGGGTGGCAGCAAGAGAATCAAGGCGGCTGCTCCTGAGAGCCGCCCAGGCACCGGCTGCAGCACCAATCCCGTCTGCCACGTGCCAATCCCAAGTGCTCTTCCCTCAAAGTTTCTCCTAACAGTGGGGGTTGGTTTGGCAGAAAATGAACAATAACAAAAATAAAAGCAGCATTACTGATTTGCTAGCACAGCAAAACAGAACCACTCAACTTTAAAAGACATCCCCTCTTCACAGGCTAAAATACCCAAAGCAAACCCACGAGCCAGGCGTGTGCCCTTGCGTTCAGCTGGGCCGTCTGTGCGGCAGCGAGGTGCCAGCAACGAGATGTGGCACTGGGGGAAACGCAAGCGGCCACCAAAGCTGCCCAGCTTCGATGCGCTCCGTGGATCCCGGACCAAGTCCTGAAACCTGTCGGTGCAGCCTTCTAATCTCCAAAATGGGAATGATGTTTCCCATGGGAATGCTCTGTCTCCAGCAGCAGAGCCCTTGAACTCCCTGGGGGCTGAGATGCTCCCCATGACATGTGAGGAGTTCTGGGCTCCCCAGAATAAGAAGGACGTGGAGCTTCTAGAGAGGGTCCAGCGGAGAACGATAAAGATGATGAAGGGAATGGAGCATCTCTCGTATGAGGAGAGACTGAGTGAGTTGGGCCTGTTCAGCTTGGAGAAGAGAAGGCTCAGAGGGGCTGAGATCAACATGTCTAAGTTCATGAAGGGGGAATGTGGGGAGGAAGGGGCCAAGCTCTTCTCAGTGGTGGCCAGTGACAGGACAAGGGGAAATGGGTTTAAGTTGAAACCCAGGCAGCTCCATCTCCAGGCGAGGAGGAACTTCTTGACTGTGAGGGTGCCCGAGCCCTGGCACAGGCTGCCCAGGGAGGCTGGGGAGTCTCCTTCTCTGGAGGTCTCCAAACCCGCCTGGATGCCGCCCTGTGCCCCGTGCTCTGGGTGTCCCTGCTGGAGCAGGAAGGTGGGACTAGATGATCTCTAGAGGTCCCTTCCAACCTCAACCATTCTGGGATTCTGTGACGTATGACATCTGCAGCACAGAAGCCGCGTGGGCAGCACCGGGGCTCACGCCGACGGCAAGGTGCCCGCACGCACCCGAGGCAGCACACGAGCCACCATAACGTAAACCTGAAGTATCAAAGTCCCCAGTTTATAGATGGGGAAACCAAGGCAGAGAGGTGGGACGCGACCTGCCCCATGCCACGGTGGGGTGATTCAGTAGCACATCCAGAGCAGCATTAATTACACAGGAAGCAATTCACGGCCCTACTTTATAGCCCCGGCAGTTAGCAATCAGCGCAGTACCTATGGTTGCAAAACAACATTCATTTCCTGTCACGCCCCCCAGTTCAGCCTTGCTGGCACCTTGCTTGGGTAGTTCTCCGCAAACCTCTCAGTTTTTAAAAGTTTCCCCCTTTTTTTTTTTAACATGAGGAGGCAGGAATTTCCACATCTTTAAGAAAACAAGGCAACAGAAGGAGGTCATATCACATCCCCCTCCTGCTCCCACGGGAATAGCTGTTGGAGCAGGGCATCTGGGTGAGCTAGGAGGGAGGGTTAAGTGATGCCCGGCTAAAGAAATCGGCAATGGGAAAATAGGCAGCTCCAAGGCTATTGCAATAGAGACCATGAAGTATGGAACTGCAGCATAACTCTCAGGATTAAACAGCAGCAACATTTAAGTCAACCTTAAATGCTCCAGAGACTCATCATGCAAATGCACCTGAAGGAGAGAGATCAGGGTGGGAGGGAAGCACCTGGGATGAATTCCCAGGAAAACCTGTGCAAATGCTCCCACGGACCCCAAAAACACCCGCTGGCTGCAATTGCTCTGGCCCAGCACGTGCCATCCCACCTGGTGAGATCCAAGGCCTTCCCTCCACCCTGTGGGGACACCAGCTCCAAAACACCAAGGTGACAGCAGCCTTTGACACTAAAGCTGTGTTTTGCTGGTTTGTACAAATAGCAGTGCCTTGTCTGGGGAGGAAAAGGCTGGTTTAAGCCAGCACTGTGCCAAGCTCCAGCAGGGGCTGCACGGGTGACCTTGGGCAAGGTCACTGCTTCTCCCTCTGCAAGGGTACGGGAGATCCGTCACCACCTCAGGGGCTCTTGCTGTCCATGCAGCTGTGTCCCAGCCGGGAGCTCTCTTGCTCCAGGAGAGGTGGTCTCACCATCACTTGTCCCAGTGCCACGAAGAGCAATCCCACCGCTCTGCAGAAACCCTGTCCTCACCTGGCACGGCACGGGCAGCAACGCGCCCTGCTTGCCAAACGCAGGCCTGCCACCTCAGCTGCCCCACAAGTGACATTAGAGAGGTTTTCTAATACTATTCTCCTGCTTTAGGGGCTTTTCTTCCCTCTCTCTAAGGAGCATTTGAGCAACATGAAGCCTTTGAAGCTCCAGGCAATGCTCTCCGGGGCAGCCAAGCCCCATACCCACAGCCAAGCCCCATAACCCACACAACCTTGCCCGGCTCCCAGGACAGAGCAGGCTGTGCTGGGGCGCAACGTAACACCCAAGGCAGGTGGCGGGGACAAACAGGGGGACAAGCATGGGGACAGCAACAGGGTCATGCGACCGCCCCGGGGGTTGACACTGAACGCTGCACAACTCCACGGGTGCTTCTCCCCGCACAGCACGCCTTTTGTTGGCCAGCCCCGGGCCGAGGGCAGCGAGGGGCCAGCGGCCACGCGTGCAGGGGAACCGCTCCGAGCAGCGGCCGCGGCACCAGGACGCTCGGCCCCCAAGCCGAGGCCACCAGGCTGCTTGCTGGCATACGGGCCCCAGGCCTTTTTCAAGCTGAAATCACTCACTCTTCCCTTTTCAGGAGTCTGAATAGCCAGTTTATTAATGCAGGAAGAGGGGCTCAGGGGCTTAGTAACAAGATAGGGAGCCCTGCACCTGCGCAGGATGATGGGGAGGTGCTCGTGGCAGGAGCGGACCCAAGGTGGAACGACCCGTCAGATGAAATACCCTAAGAAAGCGGCTCCTGACAGACAGGTGACAAGTGACAACACCCACCGGAGCTGCTGCCAGTTAATACTCCGGCTGGCAAGAAGCAGCTCTGAATGGGCCACGGAGGGAGAACTTCAACTAGTGACCTGAAGTTCCCAGGCAGCTCTTTTCTCTCCGTATCCTCCCAGCTGCCTAGAAAACATTATCTACTTCTTGTCTGAAATTCGTGTCTCGGTGCCGCTGCAAAGATGCAGCATTTCAGCCCAACGTGGCTGCCGTTCAGGAGTCAGGAAATCGCCCTTGCATACAACTGGTGGCAGCTGAAGGGGCCTCGTCAACTTGAAATACGAGTGATCTGAAAGAGCCAGTTTACCGTGACACGAGAGCTCTCAAATCAACTGCAGAAGTGGGGAAGCCAAACAAGGACTGCTCTGCTCTTCATTAAAAAAAGCCCTGGCATCATACTGCACCTCCCTAACTAGCTGGCTAAGAGTTTTACCGATGCAAAGTCTATGCTGCATTTCCAAAATATCAATATAACTGAGCTTCAGTTCCTCCAGCACAAGGTTTCCAAGTGGGTCCAAATCAAGTCCAATTCTATAGAAGGAGGAACACTGTTTTTTCTTACAAGAAATGCCACTGAATACACAGACAAGCAAAGAGCCCCTCCTTGAGCTTGTGCTAGTCCTGGCTGCTCTAGGACAGCCTGAGTTCATCCTGCGGCCAATTTCAATGTGATGTCACCCTTCTGCGTTAAAAGCTCGCTTCATTTTCCTATGCTCAAATTATCAGCTTGCTCCTTTCCAGACCTAGCAGCCAAACTGCACGAGAGCAGAAGACAGCAAAAAACCCCAAAGCCCTGACTAGGCACTCTGAGGCGATTCTAATTGATTACCACTGAATCGGGTTCTTATAGGAATTCTGGTACTTGACATTTATATTCAAATGAGATGGCCACATCAAGCCAGGATCACAACCAAAACCGCTGACAAATCACTCTTTTAATTGCTAGTTTTCCTCATACCCCCCTTTCATTTCTTTGCAGTTATTCAAAATTGAGCTGGGTGAATAAAAGCAGCCGAGCAGCTCGAGATGGCTCCAAACACCGTAGGAATCGGCTACGTGAGCAGGAGTCACGGCCAGTAATGGCAAACGCTTTCAACGCGCTGCTCATCTGGAATAATCGAAGTGCTCTGCAAAGACAGGGCTCTCCCTCTGTCCCGCCGAAGTGCCACCCACTCCAGCAACACGGGGAAGAAGCTTCTACTAACGTGACACACCAGCCCTGGCCAGAAAAGGAGCACTGTAAGCCCAATATATGGGTTTTGGGGCACCACACTGCTCCCAGCTCTGGTGCAAGATTTCTCAGGAAACCCTTGCGTTTTGGGGCAGGAGGCATTTGGCCACCCGTATCTCCACACACCCCAGAAACGACAATTGAGTGTTGCTATGTCCAGGGCAAATACAGATGTTCGAGCATCACAGCAGGCTTTGCAGCAACACAGCAGCTGTGCGATGCAAAAGAAGTATTTAAAAAAATCAGTGGCTTGTTGCCCAAGGCCCAAACATTATCCTACGCCTCCCTTCCCACCAAATGGAGAAATTAGCATTTTTTCCCCCTATGAATAGCTCACCCCAATTACAGGTTGCAAAAGGCAAGGCCCCATGTCTTAAATTTATATTTAGGGAGCCATCATCCCGGGTTCTCCCTTCTCCCGGCTGCGTGGACACGTCCGCAAGGCTGGATCCGCGGAGAAACGCAGAGCTCGGGGGCCACGCAAAGCACGAGCCGTCACCGAGCGGCACCCGGACAAGCCCCGGCAGGCCCCGCTCTGCCCAGGGTACACCCGAAACTGGGCGCACGCCTGGGAAAACACAGCGAGCGCGCGGCAGCAAGCCCCAGGGCGGAAGGCAGGAGGAAACGGTGCAGGGCATTTGGGAGAAGCTGCTCATCGAGCTCCTCGGTGGCGCTGTTAAAATTCAACGGCTCTCGGGAAGGAATGTGCTGCCGGCAGTTTGGTGCCAAACTATCTGAATAATGCGGACCTGCAGAACACACGCGAGTTCTCCAGACGAAGACCCTCCACATCAACAGGAACAAACAGCACGTATTCTTAAAATATTTTACTGTTTTTATTTATTAATATCTACTGTTTCGTAAACGTAGCAGGAAAAAGTCTTTCATGACGTAGAGGCAATCGAGCCATCTCAGGCAAGCAGAGGGAGTTCAGCTTTCCTGGATCTTAACTGGGTAGCGCAGCCGGGGTGAGACAGAGAAGATACATATGACTCGACCGCACAGCTCTTGAGGGAAGAGATCAGAGCAGAAGGAGCCTCCTGCAAATATCTGTGGCCTCTTCCTGGACAAAACAGCTCTGTATTCCCCCAATGGGATATTCCTTCTGGCCCCCCATAAAGCCCCTTTTGAAGGAGCTGGCTCTGGAAGCCTCTTACTCCCTCGTGCCTCAGCCACAGCTCTCGAGCCAGGCTGAAAACAACCGAGATGGCCAACAGTGTTGGACAGAGCAGCTAGGGCTATTGGTCACGTCAAGAAACCGCCCTCATTTCAAGCGGACCCGATGAACTTGCACCTGCATCAGCAAAACAGCCCAGACTCTTCTTGCTGCTGCCAGGTCTGACCTGCTGGTGAATGTTGCCTCTCCTGACCACCTAAAGAAAATAGGAAGCTCCAGTGCCATCGATCCTTGTTCCAGGACCACATCATAGCCAACTGCCAGCCAAGGCCAAAAGGAAACCCTCCCTAAAAACCTACAGGTACAGCCACTGCCAATCCCTTGTCCTGGCTTTCCTCACCTCAGAGGAGCCTCTTCTTTCCAAGCACTTTACAAACCAACTATTGGTGGAGCGGAAACACGTTTGGCACCACAGAAAGGCAACAGTCTCTGGAGAGGGACGCACGCTGCTGCAGCCACACGGAGGTTCCGACAGGAAGGGGGAGCAGGAGGGAAGGAGAATCCCACATCCTGCGAGTGCTGCCAAGGGAACATCAGGAGAAGCCCGTACAGTAATTGCTCCAATTGAAGTTTGGATGGAGCGCCGGAATCGAACATCCCTCACTCCCTTGATGAGCACTGTGGGAACTTTAATGACCACAAGTAATAAAGAACCTTGATTTTATTTCAAATTAAAAAAAAAAAAAAAGCGACAATCTCTAGCAGTAGCATGCTGGGAGGAACGAGCAGGGCCAAGAGTTGGCTTCGCCATGGCCCTCTCCTCCGGCTGGTGGAAACGAGGACAACCCTGCTTGTGACTCCAGGCGGCCATTTCCTAGCTCAGGACCGGCTGCATCCTGTGCTCACTCAGAGCAGCCTACGTAGGTCTGATATTATTTGGCAGAGCATCTAAATGGGTGTGAAAGAGCCACATCTACGACTTGGGATAAAGAAGTCCCAAACGCAGAGTGTGCTATGCCGGCATTTTGGCTCAGTGCTGAGAAGCGCATGGCAGAGCTCCCACGTGACGTCCTCCACCAGGCAAATGGCGAGTGTCACCTAGTCGCTCTCAGCCGGAGAACCTGGGTGCAATTTGGCAACGTCCCTTTAGCTCAGGGAGAGGACGGCAGCGTAATTTACACCTCAGCCGGATTAAAACCTTCTTAAACGTTCAAAACTTTCCCCTCCTGGCCCTTACCACTGCGTCGTCAGCAGAAGGAACCGAAGGGCAACTTCGCAGAGACAAGGGCTGTTTGCGCGAAGCGGCTCTCCACGGTGCCACGATAGGGTAGCACCATGATCAGCGTGAGAAGAATTGGACTCCCAAATCCTGCTGGTAACTCCAGGTAGGGGACCAACCTGTAGAAGAGATGGTATGAGGGCGATGAAGCTGAGATATGATAACTAGCCAATGAGAGTTGGTATCAGCAGTTCTATCAGGAGTTAAGGAGATGTTAGAGTGTAATTCCTCGTGGTGCTAGAGGAGCTAATTAGGGACACTGCTACAGAATCCACCACAAAGGCTCACTGCTCTTCCTCCTCACCTTCTGATGCTGCTCAAATTGGAATACTTTCCATACAATGACCAAGAATAGAAAGGACCAAGAGGAGGAGGTCTTCTCAGGCATACGGACAAGGAGAGGTGAAGGAAAGGGCTCACACGAGGTTAAATACCAACATCTGGCTGCCCACGTCCTGCTCTAACCAGCTAACCAACTCTTCAACAATCCCAACCTTGCTGCTATTCAGTTTTATTTGTCTTTCCCATTTAGACTCAGGACACGGACCCAAACTCACACCCTGAAACACAACTAATGCAAGCAATTACTACTAACATTAATGAAGAGACTTAAACTGAAAGACTCTTCAGCCAAGAGGAAGCCGCTAGTGACAGCTCCCTGCATGGCAGCCACTCCAACACAACCCAAATTCCTTGGTGGGAGCAAGTGCTCCGCACCTCTCAGGATAAGGCCTGTGTTTTCAGATCACCCAAATGGAGTTCAAGGTGTGAGAAAGGAAACTCTAGAGCTCTACTACTCAAGATGCTACGGTTTAACTTTTATGATCAAGGACATGGGATGACCGGATTTCATGGTAACACTGCAAACGTTAGCTGTTAGCTGTCTATAGATGGGAAGGGATTTCCTTCCAGGGCACAACACAGAGCCAGGGAGCGCAAAGGGAGGTTCGGTTTCCATCCCCATTTCAACTGCTGGCAAAACCAGAAGCAGAACGAGACCTGAGGAGATGCCGGTGGTCTGCTCCTATGCGGGCCAAATCCCACAGCATGGCAGCACTGCTTGTCTTTCATCAAATCTGGGATGGAGGCTGCCTCCACACAGCAGAACGTGAAGGCCTGCTCACGCCGTAGAAACAGCCACGTGTTGATTAGATGCGGGACCATTTTTCCATTGACAGTAACATCGAGGACATATTAAAACCGTCTCTCGTGTTGCAAGGTTAGCCTTAACTGGTTGCTCCACCCCGACCTCCTTGCCAATTTTCTCCTTTGTCATCAGAGACCGTATTTAATCCAGCAGGAATGTGCCTCAATTCAAGACTGTGTAGGAACAGATCAAGGCCTGGGTGTGCATGGGGCCTCCTTGTGCATATGGATTTACCTCGCAGCTAACACCCCTCCAGCGCCCGCGCGCTGCCCTGCCCCAGGCTGGCCGAGGCACGGGTGGTCCCTGCTCACGTGGCGCAGCGTCCGTGCTGGGACTGCCACCCGGCAGCACGGCTTGTCGCCGACGGCCGGGGGTAATCCACATTTCCCCGTGCTGGGAGACGAGCCAGCACGGAGGCCGAGAACCGCCCAGTCAACCCGGGGTCCTGCTGCAGACCCGCGGCTTCAGCAGAACCACCATTACCTCGGGCACGCGAGGGGCTCCCCAGCCGTCGTGTCTCTGATCTCTGAAGTCATCCAGCGCCTTCAGCACTTGGGAAGCGGTTTAGGGCTTGGGAAGCGGCCTTCATTCAAAGTGCTCTTTCCACTGCTGAATGCAACTGAGCCAAAGCCGAGTCCCAGTGTGCCCACTTGCCTGTTGCTGCAGCCCCCCGACAGCTTCTCTCCCACACAGCTCCACTGCTGCTGTACAGTAACAGAGCAGCTCCCTGCAAAACCACAGCGGGGTTTTCAGGAGTTCCTTTGGAACAGCAAACCCTACGTCTCCTACATACGTTCTTTGAAAGCCTCAGAAGTTATGCATGAAGGGAGAAAAAACACAAAACAAAACACACCCCCAAAAACCAACATGAAATTGCTCTTGTTTCTCTCCTGCTTTCAAGAATCACTCTTTGCTTTGGGAGCTCGGTGTACCCTGAAGAGGAAGGATTCTTTTTCAAACTCAGAAGCTCCCTAAAGCCAGAGACAACCAAGTCCTAGGCAGAAATAGGCCGACGATACTTCAGAAAAGCACCACAATACCCCTCTGCCAAACCAAGCCACCAAAAACCTGGAAGAGCCTCTAAGCTTTAACCCACTACTTAGCAAAACACAACCAAAGGAGCCACCCAGCAGCAGGGCACGAGCACATTTCCAAAGGGAAAAGTCAGGCGGTGCATTCCTGCCGCTCGCAAACAGATGAAAACAGGAGCCTGCACGGGGTCACGTTTTTGCTCCCTCCCTTTCAAAGGCAGGGCAGGAACGCAGAGCGGTGGGAAGCCAACCCCCCGCTCCACCTCAGCACCTGCCTGCTCCCCGAGTCAGGTCTGCAGAGTTTGGCACTGTCCTCCTAGAGCCGCACGTTTCTCTCCAACTGATACAACAAGAGTCGGGCAAATCCCCTTCCTGCAAGCGCAACGCTTCCTGCCTCGCTCCTCCAGCATTTCAATGGCCGAGGTCTAGCATTGGTTTAATTGCACCGATGGCGCCTCTAAGACTGGTAATCTTTTCCACACCAGAAAGGAGGAGAAAGTGGGGGTAAAAAAAAAAAAGAAGAATGAAAGAAAGAAAGAAAACGACAAAAAGGATAAGATCGGAGTTTAAAGACAAAGAAGAGCCTACCAGGCAGAGCGGCCACTTATGTAATTCCTAGTTCTCGGATAAACGCCGAGTTCTCGTCTTGCTGTTTCCATAAAAGCAAAGCCCATGTGTACCGCGCAGCTCCTTCCCGGGAATGCTGTCCGGCCGCGCAGCCATTTCCCTCCTCTCCTTCGCGCAGGGCTCTGCAGGGAGGGGTGCTCAACTGGTACCACACGCGCTGCCTGTTGAGGCAGGAGGCTCCGGGGAGCAGCAACCTGTAGCTACAAGCCCTCTGCAAAACGCTCGGCCCGCTCCAACAAACCAGCCCAAAACAGCAGCAACCTGCTCATTGGTTTCCAGTTCGCCAGTGGGAAGCGAGTAGGGTGCACGAACCAGGAAGGAACTGCGAAGCTCCTCGGGAGCCAGCTCAAAGCCTGAGCGCAGCCCGAGCAGCGGGAGCACAAGGGCCATTTGGGGGGCACAGGGAAAACCAAGGCACCACCAGCCCCTCGTCCCAGCAGGAGGTTTGTGTGGTCTCAGAGAGGCATTACAGCTCAGAAGGGGTGGGAAGCAGAATGAAAACAGTCCCAAAGGTGCTAAACACTTGCAGGCAAAGGAGCCACCCACGGGGCGCCTTGCAGCGCGGGTCCCCCCGCCTGCGGGGCGGCCGGGAAAACAGGGGGGAGCCACAGACAGCTCCCAGGGCAGCAAGGAAAAGCCCTGGCAGCAGCAGGGAGATGACACTCGTGGCAGTCGCACGGCACCAGGAGCACGTGTCTTTTCAGGGGTTGGCGAAGCAAAAGTGGCCACAAGCCGCCGTGCCAGGGGATCTGCAGCTCATGCCACCAACGCGGCCTTGGCTCCCACCTGCAGCTGCGGGGCAGCTCGCACCAGTTTCCAGTTTCTCACACCTTGTCACATTAAGAGGGGACACTGATCCCTATAGTTTCCTTCCATCCTCAGCCAGGGCCACCGCCTGGCATCTCAGAGGAAGATTTACAGGTCTCCGAACACAGCAGGGCCCTTCGGGAAGGCAGCTGAGGACCACCTGCAGCTCAAGGCGGACGAGAGACATCGCTCCAAGGCCGGCAAGAGCACCCGGGCAGCACGGAAATGGAAACCGCGCACGGAGGGAAGCTGATACTGCCGGGGAGGCTGAAACAATCGTCCCCGGGCGCGCACGGAGGATCCCGGCGCTCGCCTGACCTCATTTACTCCTGCTCCGACGTCCTCCTGGAGCTCCTCAAGGGTCAACGGGATGCTCCAAGCACAGGTGCCGAGGACGGATGCACGGCGTGAGGATGGGCCCAGGCCCGCCAGAAACACCCAAAAAACCCCAAAACGTTTTGGTTTGGATCTGAGGGCCACAGCACTTGGACAAACATCTCTATTCATCCTAGATACTGACTTTCTCCCTTGCTTTCTCTGGATTTTCTGCATCAAAAGGCTTTTAATTACAGATTGAAGCAAGTTTCTTCAAAGTCCAGGTTAAGGCTGGTTGAGAGCGTAGTTAAGAGCAACTCTGCTGCCTGCTTTAGTCAGAGCAATAAGCACGAGCGTAATCGCTTGTCACAGAAATCTTCTCTTTCAATACGTGCAACATCCCGAGACTGGGACAAAAAAAAAAAAAAAAAAAAAAACACACAACCTCAAAAGCTTTTTTGCTTTGATCAATTTTGCTTAATCAAGATTAAACCACAGCTCTCAAGTATTTGGGCTTGGTCTCAAGTGCAGACATAGGTAGGCCTGTGAAATCCCATCAAGGCCGGACACCTATGGTGGGGACCTTGATTTTACAGACCCAGCATCTGGCTTGGGCAGCACTTTAGTCACTTGATGAGGTTTGGGGAAAGCCAGACAGTCCAACCAAAGCATCGCAGCGTCTCGATACGAGCGTGAAGTTCTTTGCTTATTTGCTTCCATGCCAAAATCCAGTTTCCCACGCCTGGGAAACAACTATAATTTTCAATTCAACTTTCAAAGTCCTGAAATACAAGCGCGCCCACTGTGTTCACTGCCCCACGTAAATCGCAGGGACTGGGAGTAACTCTGCAAAGCAGACTGGCGCTTTAAGCGCAGATACAGCTAATACATGGCACGATACGTACCACAGAATGCATTAAGGTGCAAACAGGAGCAAAACATGACAATAAAAAAGTAATTAAACGCAAAAGGAAGGGGCTGTGAATCAGCAGAAAACGAAGAACTACTTTCACCACCAAAATTATTATTACGATCTCTTGCCTTGCAAAACTCTCCCCTTAGTTACTAAGGCAATTAAGGCTTGGTGAAAAAATCCCACCGTCTCATCCGAGTTTGGGTTGTGCCGTTTCACTCCCTCTTTTCCCAAGAACAAGCCTAAACAGGGGCCAGAATGAATATTCATCAAGAAGGGCTCCTCTCTAACAAACTGCTCAGTTTTCTTTTCCTCTTTTTTTTTTTTTTTTTTGAAGTTGTTTAAAGACAACACTTCCAGCAAACCATCCAGTTCCCAAGCAAGCCTGGCTCTTCCCGACGAGCCCTCAGAAGTATCCCCATGCTGCATTTTTCGTCAGAATCATCACAAACATTCAGAAATAGCAGAAATTTCATTAAAAAAAAAAACTTTTAATAAAATACCACCATGAATTACAAATCCCAGGGTGATCATTCATCTCTGCACAACCTCAAGTCCGGTTAGATTGGAAATCCTTGCAGGAAAAGACCTTCTCTACAGAAGTCCATACAGCACTCATTATATAAGCAACCCTCTCCACAGCCAGAGCAATTAACAGCACGGGAATTATGGCTGATGAGGAACACAGGCCGGCAGCAAACTCCTATCAAGAGGCCATTAGGAGCAGAAAGAAACTTTGGCTCCTCCAACCTCCCAGAGCTCTGCAAGTAACAGGACCTCCAGGGAGAGGCCCGGAGCTTGGCTAAGAATATCAGATGGCAAAAGGAGGCAGAAACAGGCACATCGATCACCAGTGCGACATAACCCTAACCGGCAGCTTAAATATGAAAATTCAGGGATTTAAGCGCTGGGCTAAGAGGAAGCCCCTGCATGCCAGGCGCCCTGCATTGCACTGGGCTCCAACAAACCCGTTTGTGGTCCCCACACTACTGAAACAAGGTGGCTAGCGCAGTGTTCTCCCCCGAGTAGCTGCCACTTGGCCTCTGGTTTCCAAGCGTGCTCGCCACGACGCTCTGCCCGCGACGCCGGCTCTGCTGCTCCGGGAGAAACCCACCGCAACGTCCAGCGCCGGCCCCGGGGCTCAACAGGGGGGTTTTTGGGGGTATCGACGCCAGGCCTGAAGCGCAGGCTCCGCTCGTCACCTCACACTCCAAGGACACGCCAAGAGCTGGGAAAG